CGAAGGCTCCCCAACATTGGCTGACAGAGTGTTTCTTTGAATGTTTTTGAAATGGAATGGAATATACGAGATCTGAAGGTCTGGGAAAAAATAAGATATAATTGACCATTATGTGGAAGAAATTTCTGTTGAAAAACTAGTTGATCCAACACATATAATTAAATAATTTAAAATATATGCTTTAAGAATTTCTTAGCATAATCATTATTATACAGTCTGAGACTGTGCTACTACATCTGCAATGTGTCACTTCCATAAGGAAGTAAGTTACTACATTAGATAAATTATTGTTATATGAACATGTAATAAATAATTTAAAAGTAAATTCAGTCAATCATCATTACAAATATTTCCTAATTAATTGTCTCATTTGGTAGAAAAGACCAAAGTAAATGATAAAATATTCCTGAGATAATTTGTTTGGTTACCCTAATCACAACAGAGTTAAAATAGAAAATAACACTTACACCTATGTGTCTAGAATTAAAATATAATGTGACTTATAAAACATGATTCTTGATTCAACCCATGCTGCTGTTTTCCAGTGCCTGCCAACTAGAAGCATATTAATAACCTGCCCTGTGATGACACTTATTTCAAATGTGATGCTTTGCTTAACATATGTCTGCTATTTTAATTAGTGACTCTTAGTACATCAAAAGAGCTTTATTTTATCAGAAAGATAAAAATTATGTCTGAATTTGTCTTTTACAAAACTGTCTACTAACAGTGTTTGTTTTATACTTTTTACATATGGATTAGAATATCTAAATAAATCTGTCACTTGCTAAAAAGATAGGGATAACCATGGAAATACAATGTATGGCTAGGAAAAGTTAATGAATGAATATAATTTGAATATGTATCACATATATATGATAAAGGAATAAAATATAAATAAAAATTAAGTTCTAGATATTAGAACTTAATATTTTATAATAGTCACCCAAAGAATCATATAAAAAGAGTGCAGGAAATCTGTCCACACACTAAAAACCAAAGAATCCAGCTGAGGTCCTGGATCCCAAGGTAATGTCTTGCATGAGTTCAGCTGAAGACCTAGAGCCCATAACAGTGCCTTCCATGTGTCCAGCTGGAGGCCTATGGACCATGACATCTCACGCAGGCCTGTTTCATGAATCTGGGCTGGGAAGCCCCGAAGATCAGTAGTGGAAGCTATAATGTGTGTGCCGGCAGGATGAAGGATCTGTGCTAGCAGGCTGGGGGATCTGCACTGGAGTCAGGAAGCAACACTCAAAATAAGAACCAGTGCTCCCCGGAAAAGTACTACAGCAACAGTGAGGTCCCAAGCTCCTCTGATGATGAGAACAACCAAGTTCCCATCAGGAAAGTCAACATGACAAGCTTCTCCAGCAGACTGGCAGTGTACCATCTTCCCCTCCAGAGCCAGAAAGCGATTCTCAAAGTGAGAACCAGAGTTCCCCCAAAATGAACTGAAGGTATTCTCGGTGACAACAAGGTCCTGAGGTCCTTGGATGATGAGAATGGGCAAGTTCATCAGGAAAGCCAGCATGACAAGTTCCTTGTAAATGTATGTCCATTTGTGAATATGATTTTGTTCTTTTATCTTTAAAATAAAAAACAAAACAACAAAAAACAAGAGAGCCAACAGCTCCTTACAGCTTCTAACAGCACCAGACAGCTTCAACCAGCTCCCAACAGACTCTCTTCTTCTTCTTCTCTAATTCTGCCTCTTATGCTGCTGGCAACAATCCCCAGGTGGGCCTCTACACCCAGCACCACACTTACTCAGTTCAGCTGTGGGTTATAAGTTGACCACCAGTTGTCAATCCACTACAGGCTAATATCTAGACTACATAAATAACCCCCCAAAATTAGACCCTCTAAATATAAAAATGCAACTAAAACCAGACATTTGAAATTATTAGACATTTCTCAATGAAGAAACACAGGTGGTCAATAAATACCTCAAAATGTTCAACATCACTGGACATTTGAGAAGTGCAAATTTAAAAAAACACTGAGATTCCACCTTATTCTTGAAAGAATAGTATCATCAATAAATTAATCAATAACAAATGCTAGAGAGGCTGTGGTAGCGAAAGGAACCCTCCTTCATTGTTGATGGGAGGATAACTTGGTATAGCCACCACGGAAATCAGTGTGGAGAGGCACAAAAAACTAAAACTAGAGTTTCCATTTGACCCAGTTATTCCCCTTCTAGGTATCTTCCTAAAAGAGTTAAAGTCATCATATTACAATGATATATGCATACCATGTTTATAGCAGCACAATTTGTAATAGTTAAATCTTGAAAACAGCCCATATTCCCATCAATAGATGAATGAATACAGAAAATGTGGTATTTATATAGAGTGGAGTACTACTGTCATATAAAAGAACAAACTTGAGATAATTATAGGTAAATGGATGCCCTTGATACCATGTTAACTGAAATAAATCAGACACAAGTTTAAATATCACATGGTTTCTCTTATATGAGAAAAGTATAAATAAAGAGCAAAATAAAAATAGAGACAGAAGGTGAGCCCAGTGAGGTTTTAGTTTGACCTCTGTTGTTCATCCTAACATACTACATACATAGAGAGTAATATGATTCTATTCCATGGAAGGATGTAGTTCCTATTTTAATGTTATGGATTAATTTATAAATACTATTATCATAATCAATGGGAAAAGATCCAAGTTAAAATATGGCATAATGAAATCATCAACAGAAAAATTTAGGGCATTCCTAAATCTAACAATAAATACTAATAATAATTACTAGTTACTTGTGTTTTGATGCACTCTACTTTTCGATATTTTACATGTCTCTAAGCACCACTGTTTAAGTCTCTACATCCTTTTATCCTTCTTCTACGTGTGCTAAGCGGACACTCTCTTAGAGTTGACAATTTACAGCTTACCAATTCATTAGAATGTGTGTCTGCTTTTTGTGGACTAAGAGCTGAACAACGTACTTGTACCATAGGATAAAAACTTCAGTGAGATAATAAACTTCAAAAAATCATAGTTTAGTGTACAGGGTGTGGACAAACATAGAAAAAATATAAGTACAGTACATTATGATAAGTACAGTATTGAACAGTTGCAGAGCCTATTAACAACAGGGTATCTGTTAAAACACTTTTTATTTGTATTTCAAGTTGTCTTCAGTCCTGTTAGGTAGGTACTTAACACTAAGCACATTTTAAAAGAAATGGTCTGAAGTATAGAGTAGTCAAATAAATAGTCTGTATCACAAGGCGGACTTTGGATTTGCACCTAGGCCTGCAGACTACACAACCTGCTGTGTTAATTTTATTTTCTTCCTTGCTTAGAAGCAAAAGTGAGACAATGATTCAGCTTGCAGATGTGTTAGGAAGGGTTCAGAGCAAGTATTTGCTAAACAGAGAAGACAGGAAGGGCTCTGAGCATGAAGAAATACCTGTAACTAGGCAATGAGAATCACAACCTCACTGAGACAAGGTCTCAGAAACTGAAAACTGTGTTCCTGGATGATAGGGTGAGTAGTGAGAGAAGCCATAAGAGGCAGAAATGGTTGTTGATTTATGGACGACTCATCCCTGGCTAAAGATTGTGTCTTTGGCTGGGGCATGGCCAGTGTTTCCTGCTGTGAATCAATATTGATTTGTGGGCATTGGCTTATATTTTTAAGCCATGGTTTTCAGAGCAGCATGGAGGATGAAGTAGAAGGAAAGAAAAGTGGGATCTACAAAAACTTTTAGAAGGTTATATAATGATTTAGACATAAATTTTGAACATAGAAGAGAGGGAGGGAGGGAGAGAGAGAAAATAATGAGGAATATTCATGAGAGAATTGCTAATATCTGACCATTTTCTTCATAGTAATGAGGGAAAAGGAGAAATAGAAAATACATCCCAAATTTCTCACTTAGCTACTAGATAGATAGTACTGTCATTGATTGATATAGGAAAGAAAGAAAATAAATAAGCTCAGAGGTGGAAGCAAAAGAGTGTGTTGCATTCCATTTTGTAAACTTCAGATATCTAAATGGGGATTTGGGCAGACACCTGGAAACATATTCTGTAGCTCCATAGGTAATTTGGCTTTGGAACAGAAAGCTGTACAAAGAGTGGCTATGACAAAAATCCATAGGCGGGATGAAATAAAGGATATCCAGGAATGAGTCCATAGCCCAAAACGATCAAGTCAGGGGAATGGAATGCTTACGAGGCAGGACTTTGATAAAGTAACAGTGAAAGAACCTTGAAGGAAGTAATCACAAAGCAGAAAGAAGCCTGGCTGAGTAGAAATACAGAGCAGAGTGATATTTTGATGTACTCTGTAAAATCCACACTTAAAAATACTTTAAAATATCTCTGGAGAAAGTGAGATAAGTACATATATCCCTGATATTTCAAGCATTGATTTTACTCAAGTATTCCATATTGAGATGCTCTCGGCTTGGATTGATGGATAAGAAAAGAAAATGAGAATTTTCATTGTTTATTATAAATATATTTCCCTCCCTCTCTTCCTTCCTTCCTTCTTTCTTTCCTATTTTCTCTTTCTTCGTGTAAGATATTATGTGACTAAATATTGGTCTCACTTTTCCATTGCCTGCTGAAAGTCACAGACCCATTTTGGTGACACCTCTCACTGTGTGCACTGTATGAAATGATTGCCTAGTAGAGCCCATCTTTCTCCAAACCTGACAAATGCCTTACTTACCCACCTCACATTTAATCCTTTCTAGTGAAGTTGCATGGTTTCTGAAAAGCACAATATTTATTTGGTGAAACAAGAAAGAACATAAAGATAAAAAAGTATGAATTCTGAAGTTTCTTGCACAGTAATTTTGATCTAAATAGAAACACCATTTGTAAAATAAATATTTGCTGACTGGAATCAGTCCTGGGTTGAGTAAATCATTACTCCAGAACTCAGTTTTTCTCAGGCGTTCCAGATAAACTTTGGAGGTCCTGCTGGTGGCTGGCTTTAATCGAGAATCCGTTTCTGTTCTCTGCAGTGACAAGGACCGTGTGCGCAGAGCAGTGTGATGGGAGATGCTATGGTCCCTATGTGAGCGACTGTTGCCATCGGGAATGCGCTGGAGGCTGCTCCGGACCGAAGGACACGGACTGCTTTGTACGTCAGCACTCGTTCCCTTCACTCTGCTGCTCCCCTTCCCGCCCTTGTCTCAGGGATCTCAGATCTTTGACATCTTGCTAGGAGATGATCGCGTTTAGTCCTGTGCGGAGTTCCACCTTCTACCTTCCTCGAGTCATTCTCTCAAGGAGCTGTTATTGATTAGCTAGAATTTTTCTGTTCCGCTAAATGAATTCTGCCTTTTCTGTATTATTGGTCTTGAAAATGAGATTGGTTGGCGAATATGAAAAGGATTCTGAGATTATTTTAAAAATTATTATAATAATGTTTTTTCCACAACTGCAGTGATTAACTGTATATATCACTGCACCACTGAGTCCTGTGAACGAGTTATTGCATTTTATTTCTTGAGTATAAAGTCTACGATTTAGCAGATAGATTTAGAATTTACTATTAGTTAATTGTTTAATAAGGTAATAGTTTTTAATTAAAATTTATAAATATATGCTTAAAATAATTTAAATGTTAATCTGTTGATTTTTATTTTAGAAAAGGACACTTTTATTTCCTTAAAATTAACATATTTCAATTATTGAAGACACTTTTTAATTAAATTTTGCATCATTTCCTTAATATATCCTTCATCATCCATATAAGCAGTTCTGTGTCCTATAGTTAACTTGCTTTCATAAACAAGAACTCTAGTTTTACATTTAAGCTTAAAATAGTAAAATGAAGAAATTGTATTGTTAAAAATAAATGCAAAATCTTTTTACTCTCTTCATGAATATCCATTAAATAACATATATAGTAGAAGCAAACATTTAAAAATAACAATTTTACTGAGCAAAATAAAAATTAAAGCTCATGTTATAGGTAGTAATTTCATAAATTTTACTATTATAAAACTTACTTTGCTTATTATAATTTAATTATATAGTAAAACAAAAATATTTATTGTGGAATGGGGTTAGAAGGAAGAAGAAAAAGGCAATAAGAAGCTAAGTATCTGAGGAAGATACTCAGAGGGTCATGACTTGAGCTTTTCACCATGGATCACCATAGAAAAGAGAGGCTGGAGGTTTGATTTTGAAGATACTGAACCCCTCAAGTGCAGCATTAAAGATTAGAAAATAATGACAACAATAAATACTGATAGCAAAAATTCTCACTTAGAAGTTTTGTACTGCATGTTTCTTTGTTATCTTACGGTAAGCGGAGGAGGGCCAGAGAGCTTCAGAGTTCTCATTTCATTGTTTCTATGGGATGTCCCGGTGACTGCAGGTGGAATTTAGTGCAGAAGGCTCATAAACGCCAGACTGAAGCCTTCATATATAAGTTACACTGTGCTGGTTATGCCGTCTTAGAGGTAAATTTGTTTTCTTCCTCTGGCTTGTGTTCCTTTGTTCCCAAGCAATCTATGCACAACAGCACATAAAGTACATTAGCAAAGCAATTATAAGGACACATGAAATTTCATAGCCATAAATTAAAACTTCCTGAATTTTCTAGATTGGTTTTTAATAGATTCTTCATAGAAAGTGTCATCTCAGTGAATAATGTATCACCAGTGAGTCTCATTCTGATTATGCTTCTAGCAGACCATCATCAGGGAATTGTCATATTTGTGATAAAGTGCTTGCTAAAACAACAATTGATGAAGCAAGTGTTTTGAGGAAACAGAATAAATTAATGCTTATTAATAACAATACGATGATTTATGATGAAATGTAAGAGAAAGCTTGAGTCCAGAATAACTTGGTATTCAAGGCCTAAGTTCATCCTGTGAAGTTTAATTTCTTAATTAAAAGAATTAGTTCATCTATACTATTGCTAATTACATGTTTATATGTACTTATACATTTTCTTGTGATATCAAATGGCTAACTCTCAAGTGGTAAAATAGTTTTATAATTCTTCTCAAATGAGTTTGAAAATATTAATAAATGGTATTCTCCAGACAAAGAGATGCCAGCATAAATGGACTATTTTAAATATTTTATTTAATGACTTTACCAAACTGTGTGCCATAACAAGGCCATGTAAGAAATGGCATCACATTATTTAATTTACAGGGTAAGGTTTGGAATTACATAAAATGTGTTTATACTTGACCAGTCACCCAATAGAGACTTTTGCTAAGTACTGTTAAACAACAATTCCAATTATTTTTGGCTATCTGATACTTATCTTTGCACTTCGTATATCATTTAAGGTACAAACTCTTCACATACCAGCTTTTTAAAAAAGTCTAACATTGTATTAGGGAGTTAGTTGACTAAGACATCAGAGCATAAATGCTTTGAATCAGTTGGGGCTTAAATAGTTCAGGCAGATTTAATAATTAAAAGAATCATCAGTTTAGAAATTATTAGATAGATACTAAGAATCTGAATAGCACTCACCATAGATATTACAGTTACTGACATTGGAGATTGTCTGTGAATTTTGAAACACAAATGACGTTAGAGTTAGCAAGTTCTATAGTGTTTGTATGATTGATATATATTGAAAACACAAACTTCTCAAGAAACCATTGCAGCAGTGTTTCATTAACAAATGTTGTGGAGGTTGTTTATGAATGAAAATCATATGTGCTATTCTGCAGGCCTGCATGAATTTCAATGACAGTGGAGCTTGTGTGACTCAGTGTCCCCAGACCTTTGTCTATAACCCAACCACCTTTCAGCTGGAGCACAACTTCAATGCCAAGTACACATACGGAGCATTCTGTGTCAAGAAATGTCCACGTAAGTGACAGGAAAAGAATTGCCACATTGACTAGAACATTATTTGACAAAGAAGGAATGTGATGCAAATTAATTTTAATTTGAAATTTGAACAGTATTGTAAATTACTTAGAGTGTGGGTACTATTACTCTCATTCCACCAATAAAGAAATTAAAATTCAAAGATTTTTAAATTATTGGTCCAAAGTTCATAGCTAAAAAGCAGCATATTTGAGCTTGAAGAATTAACATTAAAGCTCTTGCTGTGTTTACTATACCTAAATTTCTCTGCAGATTGCACTATCTCTCAGAAAGATTCAGTTAAATATGTGGCTACAAGCAATCCAATAAATACAGCCTATTTTTAATAAGAATGAATTTCTCCCTAAATTTGTTCCTGATTATTTATAATTCTAATATAAAATCCAACTTTAAATAAAAACAATCAATAAAAAGCATGTTAAGGTACCTTTTGCAAACTGATAACTCACTCTGGGGTTTCAAAGTGGTGAACATAACTCAACTGTTCAGTGTAATATATATGTTGATCTTTTCTTGAACCAATTTCTTTGATTTGAGTGGCCAAAGGGACTTTCTTCAATGTTTTACTTTTTGGAAAGGCAATAAAATAAAAAATAATAAGATCACATTTTTCATATGCTTATTTAAATGAAAGCTTAAAATCTACAGAATACAGACATGAAAACCCACAAACTTCTTTATTGGACTAATGCATGGTATATTGTTATAATTTATATAATATATAAATTATAATTTATATATATACCATGGTTATACTATCATTTAAAACTATGGGCTAATTTAAACACTGTGGTGTGGTCTACTGTAAAATTTAAATCCTGCTGTACCTTGCTCGAATGGCTTAGTTTACCAAACTAGACCTGATTTGGGAAAACAAAGATATTTATTTTCTAAATACAGATCTACAATACTTAATCCCAACTTCTGAAATCCCAAAACTACAAATAATATATATTTTTGAAATTAACTTGGTTGATCTTTAAACCCTGAACCTAGTTGACATAGGCTGGTCAAAATCTTTATTCTATTTGGTTTAAGTTGCTATTGAAATATGAAAGTGTTTATGCAATATTGCCAGGATCTTGCAGAAAAGATCATTACTCAGTATCTAGTGTATGCACTTGTAGTAGTTTGGGTTCCCCTGGAGTGGATATTAGGTTATTAGGGTGGGTTCTAGAATTCCATACTTGTAGATAAAGGGAAGGAAGCAAGGTTGGGATTGGATGCTATCTCAGAAAAGTGTCCCTTATGGTGGATACGCTTTGTTAATGACTTGTGATCCAAAACGCTTTATACTTTGCACTTAATCCCACGGTTTCCTACCTATCCCTCTACTCCGGACTTGCTATACTCCTAGATTTTTCAGTATTTTTTCTCCTAGACAAATCACTGCTCATGAGCACATATACATTCTAAATGAAGGCCCCTTCTTTCTCCACACAGAGTGAATAGTTACATTATGCAGAACCAGGCCTTTTGGTAGAATTTTATCTTGCTTGTCTTTCAAGTCTGTTCCTAACGGGGGCTGCAAGGAAGCTGCCATCCATTTTTAGCTTGCACCCACATGCTGAGCGTAGCTGTGTCCTCCTCTGTTAGCTGGTCATGTGGTCGCCAGTGAGCTCAATCGAGGTGCTGAGTAACAGTGTCAGCACAGTTCACCTGTGCCTACCCTTCCTTCCCCTGAAAAATTAAGTGCTTCAGTTTCACAGTGGTTTGCTATTGGCTCTGTCCAACATTATGAAATCATAATTCTAGTCAAACCTTGTTCATAAGGGGCATTTCTGGCACAAATTCAATCACTGACCTATAGTTAGGTGCTCCATCTCTACAAGGACCCAGAAGCACGTCAAGAAAGGGCTTTTTATTAAATGATATACAATTCATGTGCTACACATGGCAAGGCTTAGCTCTGGAAATCTAGCGGTCTCTGTTGTTTTTCCAGTTGGAACTTGTCCTAACTCCAAATGTTGTATCCTGCCTCCATAGATCCTTACACCATCACAAAGTGTCTTGGGTTTTACAACCTCAGTAGAAGAATTGCCTGCAATTTATGTGTTTCCTGCCATGGGCACCCTTCTAGTCAGACCACTACTAGTCTCCTAAACATTTTACCAAATTTTAAGTAATAAGATTCTTCTTGCCTGCTTGGTATACCTTTTGTAAAGTATATCATTCAATTTCACTTTGTTTCTTCACATAAAAATAGGAAAAAGCTTCTGTGGCACTCCACTGAACAGAACACATTTTAAACATTTTCTCCTGGATCTGAAGGACACTCGCTAGATCCAAGGCAGTTTAACTTAAGCTTCATTTGTGCTTCATGAACTTGAAGTATTTTTAGACTTCAAACTTGTATCATGACATGAAATGAAGTGGAACTATTGAGAAACACAAACTAAATGTCATGTAGTTTCCTGAGTCTATAAAAGAAATCCACTCTATCTTGGGGGCAATTCAGGCTGTGGAGCAGTAGTCAAGCAAGTACTAGTGATTTTAACACACACTGTTCTCAGATTTGAATGTGAATTGTTGGAAATTCGATTTCAGATGGAGATATTTAAACAAAACATTGTGTTGGAGGAAGACACATCTATACCATCAGCGTTATTAATCATTTTCCAATCTTACATAGGCTGTTTTAAACTTGATGGCTGAACACTAACATTATCTCTTCCTTCACATTTTTTTTGTATCAGATAACTTTGTGGTAGATTCCAGCTCTTGTGTGCGTGCCTGCCCTAGTTCCAAGATGGAAGTAGAAGAAAATGGGATTAAAAAGTGTAAACCTTGTACTGATATCTGCCCAAAAGGTGAGTGATAGTTTAGTGTACAGGTATTTTTGTGAGAGGGGAAATATATATTATGATTTTCGTTTACTTTGTAATAGGCCAATCAAGTTACCTCACATTCCCGTACACCCATTCCCACAGTGACATCCACCACACACTCCCCCTGACACTGGACAACTTCCGAAAGTATCAACTAACTGTATATTATTGGTTTTGCATTACATTAACAAAAGAGTCTAGATTAAACCTCCAGTTAATATTGATGTGTTTATTTTATTATCATGGCACATATTTGTTGCTCCTTACTGTACACAAAATGATCTGCCAATCATAAACAGGAAATGAAAGGGGCATGCAACATGACATTTGGTCTCCACATCTCAAAAATATTTTGAAAGTATGTGAAATGACAAGGAAATTTATTATAAGTGTTCAACGAATGTTGCAGATAATTCATGTTACAGAATTTTAGTGGAGGAAGAAACTCCTTCTAGCTGTGAATGCTCAAATTCCTCACCAGAGTGAAACTTAAATTAAGCAGGACAAAAGTATAGTTCAAATCTCCCAAATACTATTAAGCTTTTCAAACTGTCAGGGAGTGCCTTAGAGAAGGCAAACTTCACATTAACTTTTAAACTACATCCTCTGGGTGTGTGTGTGTCTCTCTCTGTCCGTGCTTCTCTCTGTCCCTCTCTCTGTCTCTGTCTCTCTATCTCGCCCTCTCTCTCCTTTTCTCTCTGCCTGTCTCTCTTATTCTCATACTTCTCTTATTCTTTTTTTTTTTTTTTTCTTTTCCAGAACTGGGTCTCAAACTCAGGACCTCACCCTTGCCAGGCAGGCACTGTGCTGCTGAGCTATATCCCCGGGCCTTTCTTTCCTTTTTCTTATTTCTTCCCTCTTTATAGTTCACACACACACACACACACACACACACACATACTTTTTTACTTCACAAAGCATGGATATTATTTAATTTAAAATAATTGTATGAATGGCCCTAGACATTGGTAATAATTCATACTATCAGTACTCTTTGTTTAATATATATTCTTCATTGGATCTGTGTTTTTTAAATTAGCTTCTACTTAGTATACCAGGAAATAATTTTACCAATCTGCTTAAAAACATATTAAAACATTAAAAATAATATTCTACAATGGATTAGGAAGTATGTAATGCTACCTAATAAGGGGGATATAGCTCAGCAGCACAAGCGCCTACCTGGCAAGAGCAAGGTCCTGAGTTCTATTTCTGGTACAAAAGAAATTTTAATATTACCTAATAAGGGAAAGCATTGTTTGATAATGGTTCTGTTTGAGTTCTACATGTATTTTGAGTATGCATTGGATCTTGTTACAAACTATAATTCTAAAAAGAGCTTTAGTCACTGGACTGTAATGCAGAGATAGTGTTCTAAGGTAGGCTTAGTAGTAAGTAATGAGTGAAGTAGTTATTTTAATGTTTAGAAAAAACTGTAATCGTTTTTATTTAAAAGTAAAATATTGTTATTTTGTAATGAGAATGAAATGGTTGATTTGTTTGACAAAGGTCTGTTTTCAGCCCCCTGACTGTAAATCTTGTTTCTGTAGCTTGCGATGGCATTGGCACGGGTTCACTGATGTCAGCTCAGACTGTGGATTCCAGTAACATTGACAAATTCATCAACTGCACGAAGATCAATGGGAATCTGATTTTCCTTGTCACTGGTATTCATGGGTCGGTATTCTACTCTTGTACAGGAATGTTTTACAAAGTGTAGACAAAGCTGAAGAGGTTTCTTGGCTATGTCAGTTTGGTTTTTCTTGACTGGGAGGAATTCTGCCTAACATTCATGTTCATTGCCAGCAGAAGCAATGGCCAGATCATCATCCCCTAATGAGTACCAGAGTTTGGGGATAATCTGCCTTTTAAGTTTACTGACTACTGAGGTTCAAAAACAAAAATCCGTATAAGTTAAAATGTATGTATAGAACATTCTCAAATGCCTAGTTTTTACCAAGCTTGAGTTAATTTTAGGTATGTCTAAGGAACAGTATTGATGGATAAGATGGAGGAGGTTATTCAGGTTTATTAACTGAGTATATCAAGGCAACATAAATTATTATTCTATCTGAAAACTCATATAAAGCAAATCAAATAGTCTGACATAAAGCAGAGTTGAATTTCTCCTGAGCTTCTTGCTGAAATTATTTGTCTTCATAGATTCTTTTTCTTAATTTGGGAAGTTAGTACGATTGTAGGAGATCCATCAAGTGCATTTCATTTTGGTAATAAAAATTGTCACATTCTCTGGGCTCCTTCGTTACAAAACCACCTGCTGATGTTAACTGGGAAGACAATCAAATTTGTATTCTTTGGATGGCAATGAAAATGTCAATATTTTTTACTTTAAGTCTTATCTATTTGTCTACATTACTACTTAGTCCCTAAATATTAGCACTGTGGGCTACAGATAATGAATATCACTCTCATGTTTCAACTCAAACTCTTACTCTGAACATACATCACATCATTTCTAGAAGCAAAGGAATTTAACACATTAGGGATAAATATGTCCAAATAGAAACAGTGAGAACAATAGCGTGAAATGTTTCTTTTTCTTCAAATTGTTTGTGCTGCTGTATGAAATAGCTCTTCACTTTAAAGTGTAGCTTGTACTGTGGTACAGTGTCAGGCACCATAGTCATATATATGTACTCTCTGCTCAGTTTCATATAATTGGTCCAAGCAAAGGTTTTAAAAGATTTTAAATTGGCTTTAAAACTATGTAGACTTAGTAATTCTCAGCCACATTGCTACATAGCAGTAAAGTGTTGCAGATGGTAGCATGACCCAGTGACCCAGTTTTAGATGAGACCAACTCAGTAACTGTACCTTAGTCCTCACCTGCTTTCTGAATCCATTTGCATTTCCGTCCTGTTGCTTTGGCTCACTGGGAAAGAGAACGTGTCAACATTTAGGTGCATCTTTAAAATTGAATGAGTATGTGACAGTTAATCAAGCAGTATATCTACATTTTAATTGTTTTTATAAACAAATGCAGTCATGAATGAAAGATAATATGTCAATATCTTCTGAGATATTAAGAAACAGAACATATTTCCATGACCCAAATTACTTGTTTCCATATTGAAATAATAAATATAGTAGCTTGAGGACTCTCAGTGTGTGGAATGACTGAAGTCATATTCTCCTGAACTGGATGAGAAAAATGATTTTCATTGCTATCTGGCCAAACATCCTGTTTACACCTCAGGCACTTGACACTTCTCTTTCAGTTCTGAAATGAAATCTACAAAGAATGCAGTCTATAATATACACTGTTTTTAAAAGTTATTACAATTCTCCAGTTATAATTTAAGGAGCAAGATAAAATTCATGTATAGTAAAATATAGGATAATACTCAGTTTTGTCTGATAAAAATCTATATTTATGAGACATAAGATGACATTCTGGGGGTTGGGGATATAGCTCAGTGGCAGAAGCACCTGCATGGCAACTGCAAGGTCATGAGTTTGATTCCCGGTACCAAAAAAAAAAAAAAAAAAAAAAAATGATATTTTGTGTAAGAAGTGTCAGGAAATAAAGAGCAGAATGAAAACTGACCACAAAATGAGAACAACTAGCTAGACATATTGTTATATGTGAAATTGAGGAGACAAAGAGCTCCCACTGAAATTCGGAGAACATCACTAAGGAATGACAAAGTACAACCTGACATGGAACTTGCACATATGAATTCCTAAATATCTTATAGAGCATTTTAGGGCTTTATGAGATGAGAGGAAATCTTTTCTGTAAAAGGCATGTAACAACCTTTGCATTGGATTATTCCTAAAATCCTACAGTATCCCCGCCTTACTACTACCACTGAAACACTCTACAAATATCTCAAACTCCCTTCACTGCAGTGGCGCTGCCTCCATGGAGAACTACTACAAAAATTTCATGATAGTAGAAGGAATATGGACAGCGTCGTGCTAATGGCTAAAGTTCTTATGGATAAAACATGAGTGGGAAGGTTTGAAAAATCCTCAATATAATGAAGTTCACAATACTAAATTTATTTTAGTCTTGGTCCATCCTATAATTTATTTTTAAAATTCTGGATTTATACTATCTATAAACTGATTTTACATAGTCTCCTTCACCTATGGTCAAGACTCAGAGAAAGTTTAATAAATAAATGCAAAAGAAACAGAAACAGTTACTTCATGAGATAGAAATATATTGTGCAGCTGTAAGTGTACATCTTCAGGCTCATGAGAAGAATATCACAAAGCATTAGACTAAGCTAGACTTCTAAGAAGAATGATTTTGCTAATTCACTCAGATGAAAACGGACATAGAAAATAAGCTCATATGGACCAGAAGGAGAAAAATAAATGAAGTTCATCTTAATAAACACAATATACAAGTTAGGCTTTCTCTGTGGATAACTTTATCCAAGGCAGAGTGGCATTTGATTTGCAGCTCCACAGTGGACAGCTTGCATTGGTGGTTACCTTGTCTTCTGAAACACGATTTCTTCTAACTAAAACTGAGAAATAGGTTAATAATAAATACCTATTCCCTCTGACTGTTTTGGTGTGAAAAATAAAAGATTGTTGCCAATTGCTCATCTCTGTACAGGGTGTATTTTAAAATCTTAATAAATTGTGTAAGAGAAAAGGAGAAATGAAAGAGGAAATTTAAAATGGACAGGAAATAGGTGTAAGAAAAATAAAAACGAAGCACAAGGGAAAGTCAGTATAAAAGAAAAATCTCAGTAATTTGTCTAATTTACAGTTGAGAAAAGTATACATCTAATATTTTACAGATTTAATAATCTTTTATAGAATATGTTGGGAGTTAAATAAGGTAAAGTTTTCTTTAAGATAAATCATGCTTCTTAATTTAGATAATTATTTGTCTCTTGATCATGGTACTTAAACAGGAATATTTGAAGTTATAACATGCTTTTGTATCTCAAGCATAACTTGTATGGCATATTAGGACACGTATGTGTGTGGAATATGATATATTCTTTACTCAGTCTCATTACCAGCATGAGACACATATTGTGAAGAATTTTCCTAAGGAAAGTATAACCACAAAGTCAATTTTGTACATCTGAGACACTGTGTGAGAGTGTGTATGTGTGTGTGTGTGTGTGTGTGTGTGTGTGCGCGCATAAAGGTGTGTTGGCATATGTGTACGTAGAGACAAAGAGTCAGAGATGTATAGAGATTTCAGAAGAGAATAACAACAGATACTACTGACAGAAAATTTCTAGTAAATAATGTTTTATGCCACTTAATTGCCATTCCTTCAATGCATTACTACCAAGTTCTTAATAAGGTTATATGGTTTATTAAAATAGCTGAGGTACTTAAAATAATGAAAAGGTAAAAATATCATAACTAAATGAAACGAGGCCCTGCAGGAAATAAATTTACCTGCACAGTGTTAGGCACCATTTCAATATATGAAAGGGTTACAAAATAATTAGCATAAAAGTTTATGGTACTGTAGTCCCATTGGCAGAAACGGAAATAGGCACTCATTTCTTTATTTAATGTAGGATCCTCAGGAAAGCTTATTATTTAGTTTTAGGAATATTCCTCCATGTTTTGTCATGTTTGACACCATTCTTGTGCTTATTCTTAGAGTGACAAAATGCTTACCAAATTCGCACGCTGATGCTATCTCACTGTGAGATGCTGGTGAGGAGATGCTTGCATGATAAAATGATGATGGCTAGTAGATAAAAGATAATAGGTTTGGTGACCAAACAAAGAAATGTCAGCGAAATTGTGAAAATATGTTTCTTTCACTGTGTCCTCTGCTTTGTTTCGTATCCCTAAACACAGTGACATGGTAGGTGTAATGTTCCTTTGCATGGCTCAGAACGTAGACAGGAAAGTTCTCAATTTTTAGTCTTGTGGATTTCAAGTGGCAGTAGGATGAAACTCCCAAGAGGTACTTTGAAGTTGGTAAGTGGAATTCTGTCAACTTATTTTATGAGAGTCCTAAGTCCCTAAAATTAAGCATATAAAATTTCGGTAGTACACTAAGCTTTATGCTAAAAGTCCAGAATTCATTTTAGTCTGGCAACTTGGAGCCATTTACAGAAAATGTTTGTGCTGACTCCATTATTGTGTGCTTGCTCTGACTGCTGAATCTTTTTCAATAAAGCCAGGATATTTGATTATATGATCAGGGCTGTTCTACATACTACTTTTCATCAACAAACAAATGTCAAAAGCTCATTTTCCTCCTGCAGAAACTTTGTAGGCTTCTGCATGCAAAACGTTCTGGATATTAAAACATGAAGACAAAAAGATATTTCCTATATAGTGTGCTTCATATTCCACAAAAGCATATCTAGGCATTTCATATATATTTACTTGTAAATATATACTTACATATAATAAAACTTAATAATATATATTAAATTTATATAAATATAAATATAATTCCTTAAAACATTCAATTTAGAATTTCAACTTTTAAGAGATATTCATTTAACATTGAAAAAATTTCAGATCGACTATCTAAATATGAGTTATAGGATTTCTCCAGTCTCACTAATATCAAGCTTTTGAGCTTTCTATAGCACTCCATGACAAACATTCTGTACATTGCATTAAATCCATTCCTTAGTTTGAAGCAATAATCAAGCACATATTTTTAGAAAGTGAGAAAGTTCATAGTATACAGTAGGTCAATGAACCAAGTTCAGAAGCTTAGTATCAGGTAGTTCTAGATATTAACTCAGTCATTTTGAGACTGTCATAGTGAGATTAAAAAAAAAAAAAATGCCAGTGAATTGAGACTGAAATTCCCAGGAGACAAACTGTGTGCAATCCATTCGTCAAGGGATTATGGACAACCTTGACCGATAGGATAACTCTTGTTAAGACTGTATTCGAGGAATCACTATATCTAGTCTTTATTTCTCATACCCAAAAGGAAGGTTCTCATAGACTAGTAAAGAACACACGTCCTTAGGCACAGTAAAACTCATTGCTACAGCAAGATAGATACTCCCCAAAATACCTAGCTCCTTGATTTAGTAGGCTTTATCTCTCTTGGAGAAGTAGTCAATATATAGAATGTTATCTTTATATAAAAAGCAGATATTAAGATGAAGTCTGATATTGCCCAGGAAAATCTTCTAAAATAATAATACTTTTAAAAAGTGTTGCAAATGCCTTAAAATAATGGTTTACATAATGAGAAATTTTTGATATTGTGTTTATGTTTTATGGAACATTCAAGTATGTGTTTATATTCCATTATCAGTTGATTATCAGTTTTTATTGGAAAAATATTTTCTTAAAATAAATTTTTTAAAAAAATTAAATGATTTGAAAAGGCAACATCGCTGGGCATGGTAACACATGTCTTTAATCTCAGCAGTCTGGGAAGCTGAGGTAGGAGGACTGCAAGTTCCATCCCAGCCTTGTCAACTTAGTGATTTAGCAACCCTGTCTAAAAACCAAGATAAGAAAGAAAGAAAGAAAGAAAGAAAGAAAGAAAGAAAGAAAGAAAGAAAGAAAGAAAGAAAGAAAGAAAGAGGGAAAGAAGAAAGTGCTGGGTATGTAGCTCGGTGTAAGGGTCATAGGATCAAACCCTGGTGCCAAAAGGAAAGCAATTTATGTTCATTTTCAGGTATCTTCATATCAATATAGTACAGTAGTATATTTAGGCATTGGGAGATGATATTTGAAAAATCTCCAAAATTTATATCTTTTGAGTTTTATGAAATTCAGTTAATATAGTTCATTTATTTGTCTATTTATTTTTGTTTTTTATTTTAAAAGGAGAGAAAGAAAGAAACATTAACGCAAAGCAAAACAATAAAAACAATACAGAATTTCAAAACAAGGTGATAGGGAATTAACAATAGTTGTTATAATATGTATTATTATCTTCAAACTAATCGCTCAGATAACCAGACACAGGCATGAAAGATCAAACAAGCATTAACTGTTTCTTTCAACAAACCAATAAAAACCAGTGGTACAATTACCCCAGCCATCTTGTGTGTGTTTATATGTACATACCCTGCTTCTTTTCTCCTTTCTCCCATCCAATATAATTCATTTAGATGAAAGCAAATATTTCTTGCATTACATTGATGATTATAAATAAACCAGAGAGGAATAAAATGATTCTAAATAATCCATCTGAGGATTGAATTCATACAATATTATGAAAATTCACAAAAGCAGACCTAAAAAATAGTAAGACTTCACCTGTGTTTCTTTCTTTAGTATTTATGCATTACAAGTGCTACTAGAAATTTAGACTGCTTGAGGAGAGCCCCCAAACCAGTTGTTCTTACAATGATATTATTTATTTCCAGACTGTATTCTTCTTGATTAAGGATAAATCTCTAAAGGCCAAACAAAATAAAATGGTTCATTCATGGACTTCCTCTTTTTGTAATGTTTGTCAAGATGATTGAAATGGGACCATTTCTATAGATTTAGAATAACTTTGGATAAAGAATTTATATTCTGTGTCATCAACATTCTGAAAATATATATTAAGGCCCCTCTAAATGTAGCACGATAAGTTCGGACAATGCATTAATTTTCCAACTCTAAATTAAAATTCAATTTGAAAGAAATAATTACGGTCTCTTTTTTCACATTTTAAAATTGGACCAAATCTCTTCTTTATTTTCTAGGGACCCATACAATGCAATTGAAGCTATTGACCCAGAGAAACTGAATGTGTTTCGGACAGTCAGAGAGATAACAGGTACTTTTTAAAGTGCAATCTTTGTACTATATGCTTTGGGAGCTGAGTGTTTTCCTGTAAGTATTGAATAATATTAGCACGAGCAACTAATTTTCAAAGCAAATTTTCATTTGTTTAAACTTAGATTATTATGAATAAGAAGTATCTTACTCTTTAGTTTTTGTGTATATTTTGAAAAGCCATTAAATTACAAAAATAAATATCTTTGGAATTTTGTAAGTACTGTTTTAACAAGTGTCAAATAATCAAGGATTTTTGCTTTATTCTTTTTCTTATTATTAAGTTTAAGGTACAGGGCTGGGGATATAGCTCAGTAGCAAAAGTGCCTGCCTGGCAAGCACATGGCCCTGAGTTTGATCACAGGTACCAAAAAAAAAAAGTTTAAGGTACAACTTAGATGTACATAATGATCACATTCATCACAGGGAATTTGTACCTTTACATGACATATTTTGATTCCTTTTTTTAACCCATTCCCCCTCCTTATTTACAAAAGCTTTGTTTCCATTTTATCATTCTCTTTTCATTTTTTCCTTTCCCTTCCTTCCTTTCCCCCCTGTCCTCCCTAAGTCCCCTTCTTGTTTGAACAATTTCTTCCTATTTCACAATATCTATTACACATTTTGCCTCTTATTTACACTTTTAGCTTCTCCCACCAGAGAAACATTGTGATATTTACACATTTGTCTGATTTATTTCACTTAAGTGTATGGTCTCATGGTGCATCCATTTATCTATAAATGTCTCCAGTTTATCCTTATTTATGACTGACTATTACTCCATTATATAAAAGAAATCTTACATCTTCTTTATCCATTCCTCAGCTGATGGGCATTAGAGTTATTTCTAAGACTTAGATGTGACAAACTGTGCCACTATAAATTACTGTGTGTATTTATCACTGTGGTATGATGCTTTCAATTCTTTTGGGAAGATCCCCAAAAGGGGAATAGTTGGGTCAAATGAAACCTCTACTCCTGGTTTTTTGAGGAGTCTCCACACTGATTTCATCAGTGGTTGCACCAGTCTACATTCCTACCAACAGTGTAGAAGGATGCTTTTTTCCTCACATCCACACCAGCACATGTTATAGACTGGTTTCTTGATAATAGCCGTTCTTTCTGGAGTGAGATGGAATCTCAGCATTGTTTTAATTTGCTTCACTTGAATGACCAGTAATGTTTAACATTTTTTTCACATTTATTTGCCATTTGCATTTCTTCATCTGAAAATTGTGGATTCATCTCAGATGCCCATTTTTGGATTGGTTCTTTAAATTTGGAAGGGTCTAATATTTTTCAATTTTTTGTATGTTCATGATATTAGTCTTTGTCTAAGGAACAACTGGCTAAAATGTTTGTCCACTCTGTGGATTGAATGTTCACTCTGTTGGTGATTTCTTTTGCTATGCAAAAGCTTTTTAATAAGATGAGAATCCAGTCATTGATTGTTTTTATTTACCATGCACTTGGCATTTCAATCACGAAATCTTTGCCTACACCTATGTCTTCAAGAGTTCTACCTATTTTATCTTCCAGTGGATTTAGTGTTTCTTTTTAATATTTAAATCTTGGATCCATTTTGACTTTAGTTTAGTGCATGATGATAGACATGTGTCTAGTTTTAGTCTTTGGCATGTGGAAAGCCAGTTATTCTAGCACCTATTAATGAGGCTATCTTTCTTTCCATGAATATGTTTGACCCTTTTTCAAAGAAGGTGACTGATGTGTTTAGTGTTGTTTTCTCATCTTTTAGTCTATTCCATTTATCCTCAGGTCTGTTATTTTGCCACTACCATGCTGTTTTTACAATGCAGCTCTGTAGTATAATTTCAAGTCAGAGATTGTGATCCCTTTCATCTTGCTTTTGTTGCCTAGAATTGTTTTCCTATTCTAAGACTTTTCTGGTTCCAAATGAATTTTAGGAATGTTTTCTCTAGTTCGGTGAGGTATGCTAATGGTATTTTGATTAGGGTTACATTAAATATGTATAACAATTTTGGAAGTATGGTTATTTGTGTTATGTTGGGTCTTCCTACTCAATATCAAGGGTTATCTTTCCACTTTCTGATATACTCTTTGATCTCCTTTTTCAGAGTACTATAGTTTTCAATGTGGAGATCCTTTGTTATGTGGATTCCTATTTCATTTTTTTATGCTATTGTGAAAAGGGGTTCTTTCCTAATTTATCTGACATTGAATTTGTTATTTGTGTATAGGAATGTTATTGATATTTGAGTGTTAACTTTGTATCCAGTTATGAGACTGAATTCGGTTAGTAAATCTGAAAGTCTTTTGGTGGAGTTTTGAGATTTTCTATGTAGAGTACCATGTCATTTGCAAATAATGATAATTTAACTTCTTCCTTGCCTGTTCTTATTCCTTTTATTTCTTTCTCTTGTCTAATTGCTCTGGCTAATGTTTCCAGAGCTATATTAAATAGGTGTGGTTCTAGTGCACATCCTTGTCTTGTTCCTGATTTTACAGTGAAAGCTTTCAGTTTTGGAGTATTTAGTATCATGTTGGCTCTTGGTCTGTCATACGTGGATTTTATCCGATTGAGATAAAAACTATCTCTTCCAATTGTCTGTAGGATTTTTATCATGAATAGGTGTTAAACTCTGTCAAACTGGTTTTCTGCATGTATTGAGATGATGATGTGATTTTTGTCTTTGGTTCTGTTGATATGGTGTATTACATACATTGATTTGCATGCATTGAGCCATTCCTGTGTCTTGGAGATGGATCCTACTTGTTCATGGTGTATAATCTTGATGATTTACTGCATTCTGTTTGCCAGTATTTTATTGAGGAGTTCTGTGTCTATGTGCTTGGGAGAGATTGGCTTGTAGTTCACTTTTTTGGTTAAGTCCTTCTCTGTTTTGATGTTAAGGTAATACTTGCTCTTAGGAATGATTTTGGGAACAATGCTTCCCTCTTAATTTCATTAAAGAGTATCTACAATTAAATGATGTCAATAAAACATATTGGAACTTACGGGATGCAATGAAAGCAGTCCTGAGAGGGAAATTTATAGCAGTGAATTCTCTAACCAAGAAAACTAAAGAAATTAAATAAATAACCTGTTCTTGTGCCTTACACTTCTAGAAAAAGAAGAATAAGTCAAGCACAAAGCTTGTACAAGGGAGAAAATTATACATATTGGAGCAGAAACTAAGGCAGTTGAGACGGAAAAGACAATACAATGAATTAATTAATCAAAGAATTGATTCTTTGAAAGATTAAATAAAATTGATAAACCCTTAGCTAACCATGTCAAAAAAGTAAAGACTCAAAATCATGCAGTTAAGAACAGAAAGGGTGAAATCACAACTGATCCTGTGTAAATCAATGTCATCAATACTTACTTCAAGAAGGTTTACTCTAATAAGATAGAAAACAGACAGATTCCTAGATGCATGTGAATTACCAAAGATTAATGAAGAAGATATGAAAATTCCAAATAACCCAGTATCGGTAAATGAAATTGAAAATGTATTTAAAACTTACAAACAAAGAAAAGCCAGATCCTGATGGATTCATGGTGGAATTCCACAAGAAATTTATTGAAAAACTAATGCCCTTACTTCTCAAACTCTTTAATCTATGATATTTGAACCCAATTTTTTCTATTTATTTTCTAAGAGGAAACATGTAGCATTTACTAGGCACATATTTATTGAGCTTCTAATATCTTCAAGACTGCAGTAACATGTGTTATTGGACTCATTGATGTGAATCAGACATGGAGTTACCATTGAACAGTATAAAATCTAATGAGGAAGACTAAATATATACATAAATGATGTAGAACACAAAATAAATACTGATGTCATAAAAATAAATAAATGATAAATGATTTCAATGAAATGGAAATGATATATTTCTCTTTAGTTTGCATTTTTATACTCATTTGAATACACTGAGTCAGTTAAGAATTTTAATATATAGTTTTATGACTTTATATGTCTGAAAAAGAAGGATTCTTAAAGCTATACTTTTGATATCAATTATTTACCCCAGGAACTTGTATTAAGGCACTCCATCTGGGAAGAATAAATATGTGATAGAATCCTTTAAAGATAGAAATGTTCAATGCTGTTGTTTACCTTTCACATCTTTGAATATATTTTCATCATATTGAAGAATAAACAATAGTATCTGTAAGACCAATGTGATCTTATTTAATCAAACTGTTTCTGTCACTCTAGGTTTCCTGAACATACAATCATGGCCTCCAAACATGACAGACTTCAGTGTTTTCTCTAACCTGGTGACCATTGGTGGCCGAGTACTCTACAGGTGAGTATAAATGTTTACACCTGCTGTTAACTCAGTTTCCAAGAAGAGACTTATATGTCTACATAAAGTCAAGATGATCAATCTTATTGATTTACTGCTTCTGGAAATATAATGTTCCTGCCTTTAATTCAAAGCTCAAGAAAAATATACCTAATGATGAAATAAAGTATACAAATATGTATTTTGTGTTTTCAACTGCATATCTCATATTAGTGTATTATGAGTATAGAATGAATGATGTGAACCATATAAATAAACCTTATGTTATGTATATATAATGTATTTAAGTGCTATATGCAAACAACTTTTACTATTCACTAAAAATTTTATGTTAGTCAAAAATATGTTAATTAAGGCATTTGACATCATAATAAAAATCAACATGGTTAAGGTGGGAGAAAATGTTTGAAAGAATAAATTACATTTCGATATTTATCATTTGGCTTTGTATATTTTTAATTACTACAAAATAATAAAACATAAAAATTGAAAATATTTAAGGAAATTCTAAATATTAAATTATTTAAATTATTATAGAAAAGGAGAGTTTTGATTTCCAAGATAATGTTCACTAGTTGACTGAAAGGAGGAATCACTAGAAATATATTTATTCATAGGGTATAGAAAAATAGTTACAATAATATGGACTATGCTGAAATAAAAGCATTGTCTTTGAAATGATAGTTTACACAGAGTAGTTGTTCTTTAACTTTTAGAAATCTCCCATTATCTAAGCCTTCAGAGTGGGAGAATAATTTAATTCTCTTTAGTTTTTAATTTGTCCTAACCTTTCTTATACATTCTTTAAAGGTAATAACATTTTGATTCCAAAAGGCATAAAGTTAACTAGTTATACTCATTGTCTGCTTTATCTATCCAATAAAACCTAGCTAACTATGTGACATAATAGAATTAATGTCCCACTTATAAGAGGTAAACAATCTCGCTATAAATATTTATTTAACTAATATGAGATTTTGTCTTTGAAGAGCCTATAATTTAGGCTACGCAATGGAAGGCAGTGAGTACATATTTTAGTGGTAAACACAGTGAGATGAACATATATGTCATATACATAATCCTACAAAATGAACACTTTGGGTCTAGAAATTAAATTATTATTACAATTGAAAACATTTGACAAACATGAATGTGTGATCCTGTGCAGAGATCTATTGAGCCATTCTGTTTATATTACATTAACATTAGTTAGAGTAAGATACGACATCCTTACTTCACTGTAGGAGTTCATTTTAGGACCCAGTGGTATCTATTTCTGTTCCACATCCCCTTTCTCTTCTCCAGTGGCCTCTCCTTGCTGATCCTCAAGCAACAAGGTATCACCTCGCTGCAGTTTCAGTCCTTGAAGGAAATCAGTGCAGGAAACATCTACATCACAGACAACAGCAACCTGTGCTATTATCACACCATTAATTGGACCACGCTCTTCAGCACCATCAACCAAAGGATAGTGATTCGGGATAATAGAAAAGCAGAGAACTGTAGTAAGTACATTACCCAGACACTTAAATCATAGAACCTCTAAAATTGCTCTGGTCTACATTGGCCTATACAACTGAAAATAACAACAGCTCAGAAGTGTTGTCCTCTTATCTCAGCATTGAAAAAAAAATAGCCTAGCCATACTCAGCAGCATGGCCTAAAATAATTGGAAATGATAACGTTTCATAACATACTGTGTTTGCAAATTTTCCCTAATATTGAGAATTCTGTGGAGATTTATATTTAGTAGGATCTAATTACTTTGAGGTTATCTGTCTTAGTGAATTCTGTTTGCTGTATGCCTTCAGTGAAATTGGAATATAGAAACAGAGTTTTGCTATTTGGAAGTAGAGGGACAGATGAAAGTGTGTTCTTTTGAAATGTGGAAAAAGTATTCTTCCAGAAGTTCAATATCTGAGATAAAATGTTTATTTTATAAATGTATTTGTGTTGGCATATAATTTTTTGTGTGTGTATCTTTTTGAGACAGGGTCTCCCTAGGCAGTTCAGGCTGGCCTTGAGCTGACTTTGTAGCCCAGCCTGGTCTTGAACTCTCAAAGATCCTCCTGCCTCAATCTCCTGAGTGCTGGGATTACAGGCATGTGCCACCACCCCCTTTGTCACAACAAAGGAAATAATGTTTTCCCAGGGCATGTGACTATGCCATTCCTATCTAGTACAGTGATGATCCTGTTGCTGGCTAACATGAGGTCCTTGCTTTATTAGGAATGAAAATTAAAGCTAAAGCAGAAATTATAGGAAAAAATTAACTGGAAAGTTAAAGGGAAAATAAGGAAGGACTTCCGTTTAGCTGCAGGTGGAGCACACCCTGATGCAGGATTTAGATGCACCCACCTGCAAAGGAAGGGGTTGAACCTTTCAAGGATTGCTTGCTGGCTGAAGCCTGGCTGATCCTTACTTCAGGTCTGATGTCATAGCCCTGGAATCCTTACTCTCATACCTTACAGATGTTTCCTTTCCAGATTCCTCTTCAATACTGGTTATCTCAGTCAAAGGGGGTGTTATGGCTTGTGTCTGTGTGTCACCCCAAAGCCTCATGCAGTCATGGGGCAGGCTTTTAGAGTTTGATTGATTATGGATGTGAGAGCTCCACCCACCCTGGGGTGGATAGTTTGCATATGTAAGGGAGAGGAAGTGGCTGCTTAACACCATTCCTCCTCTAGTGGTTGTTGCTTTTGCTGTGTTCTGCCATCATGAGCTGTAGCCCTCTGCCATGTGCCACTCTGTCTTGTAACCTGCCAAGTATGGACTGAAACCTCCACAAACTGTAAGCAAAATAAACCTTTCCTTCCTTAATTTTGGGCATCAGGTATTTTGTCCCAGCACCGAGAGAAAAGTAACCAAGACAGGGGGCTTTGTCTTTCCCAGAATCTGGGTGATGGACCATAGGTTTAGGATGATAAATGGCAGCTTCTGGGGGTAGCTGATAGTCCCTGTAAACTTCTATCTTCATGACCTCAGTCTTGAAGGTGGATGAGATCATGTAAATTCAAGAGCAATCAACCCTATCCTTTGACAGACACTCCCTAAAAGATCAACATACTTCTAGGAGGATTTTAGGAGAGATGTCACCTAAGATTTACAGCAACAAAAGATAAAAAGTGAAGGTCAAGTTTTGTTGCTTTTAGTTATCTATTGGGCAAGTATAGGCCCAACTGAAGAGACATGGTTAACCACAAAAATGGCTATTAAGTCCCTAAGGATCCCAGAAGAAAACACAAATCATGCTTCTAATAAGTAGCAGGTAAGGGCGCAAGAGTCTATCTGCCCCATTACTGTGGTGGTCCCTGATTATATCATGACTGTCATTTCAAGGACTATTACTCAGTACTTTCTGATTTTTCTACTGAGTTCACTGACTTCTACATCTAGTGAATGCTACTACTAATTATGTAACAATTTGACTTATTTACAGTAAATACTAATTACAAAGACTCAGAATTCAAATGATTTGTTTGTAAATACATATCCTTGTTGTGGTCACCTTGATGAGTCAGTTCTTTTTAGAAGAAAAGTGATGCTCTCAGGCTGCTGCCTTAGTTGCAATCTCATCATTGGACAATTATCAAGGTATTTATAAAACAGTGATTAAGGGCACTGGTGTGTATATTTGTTTAAATGAATAGCAGATGATTTTTTAAAATTTAGGTACTGTAGGGGACGCCAATATTATAGTAATTATTGAGTTAAAGAATTGAGTTAAATAATTAGTGAATCAATTCATTTTTGATGACACACCTTGTACCAGAAAGGCTCTAAAGCATGTCAAGCTAACAATGTTCAAAAAATATCACATAATTTAGGAGGAACTCATGTACTAGCTGCTTTTTGACTCTTAAAAATATTTTTCAGAAGAAAAGAGATCTATTGCAGCAAGAGGTTTCTGTCTAAGTAAATTTAAATTCATACATATTCTCCTTTTCCTCATAGAATCAAAGTATATAAGATCTATTTATGTATCAAAATATCCATAAGCATTATTTATGTTTTCATATTAAATATAATTAATCTTTTATTTCCTTATTCTATTACATTGTTGATTTCTGACAAAGTTTTCCTTGCTTTTTCTCAAATATTTAAATTTCTTACCCTGCACTTCTCTATGTATGTGTGCAAATATCTAAACCATCATATTTTTCAACCCTGTTTAGAGCCAAACATTTTTTATATGATCCATTTGCAAATCCTACCAACATTCATGTTTTTCAAACTTTTATACCTGAGCAAAGAAAAATGAATACAAACTATGGAAAGAAATTGAATGTAGAAAAAGCAAAATGGAAAAAATGGGAGTTTTCACTGAGTTATTTTGTACCTTTTAATGACTTCTAAATATTTCAAATAACTACAAAAGAATAAGTAGTAATAAAAATGGTAGTAAATTAAAAAATCAAAGCAATCTTTAACTTTCAGTGTTAGGCTTCTGCGACTTAGTTTAATTACCCTTAATCTATGGACATTTTCCTTTCCTGAACACTTAGATTAGACATTGAAGGAGTAAATAAAACAGTTAGGAGAAACATAGATTTGTGGTACCATAGCATAAAATCAAGTATATCATTTTTCATGTTTAACCTCTAAGGATGAGTACGTTTTTTTTTTTTTTTTTTTTCTTCCGGTACCAGGAATCAAACTCACGACCTTGCACCTGCCAGGCAGGCGCTTTGCCACTGAGCTAAATCCCCAGCCCGATGAGTATGTTTTGCATGAAATTAATTTATCAAAATTCAGGCTTCAGTCTTACTGCCCATTGCATTCATGAGACTTCCACATCTGCATTTTCAGAAATGTAATTAACTTGGAAACATGACCCCAGAGATGATGCTATTGAAGTTTACAATGAGCCTATAGGTGGTTTTTCACATATGACAAGAGTTGTGTCATCCATATTACTATTTGCATGTGAAGGTCCAAATATTCTATTTTAGATGTATTATAAATATTGCATTTTAACATATTCTTTCTGTATTCACACACACGCACACACACACACACACACATGATATTTGAGTGTATGTTCACATTCCTTACAATAAATATATGCAAATATAGCATACATGTGTGTTGGCACATCCAATGTAGATGGACACACACAAACCCAGAATATATATATATGTATATATATATGGACTCATATATACTTATGCTCTCCCTCACCCCACATTGCTATCACTATAAAGCACTCTGCTCTTAGTCTGAAAGTTGCCTTGTTAACTTAAAAGAAAAAAATAACCCTGCATATATAACAGTGGCTTTTGGAATTCAGCATGATCCAAAATAGTAATGACAATAAAAAGAAAGCTTCACTTCACCTATAAAGGGTGACAGTGGCTTGAGCAGGCTGACTTTTTTAAGTCAGAACTTTCAAAGCAGACTTTGTGGTTTCAAGAGTGAAACTGAGTGAAACTCTAAGAAATGAAAAGCTAGCACGCGTTCTGCCTCCTTCACTTACACGGCTACGGCACTAGCCAAGTGACAGTGTGAGGGGGAAGCGTTCGTGTAGGTGAATGAAAGTATTTTGAATTCTCTTTAAAAAATATTTAGCCAGAAATTTTTAAAGCTGAGAAAAGCCACACAGGTGGAAATAAATGCTATACCACCTCCTCAAAATCCAGGTTGTATTGGAGCCCATACACCTCATAATTTAAGTGTATTTGTTCTTATGTAGCTAAATACGATACATGAAATAGAGTAATGAAATTCATTCTAGATTTTCAAAATGGAAAATATGTTTATTTTTTCTAATTATAGCACTACCTTTTAGATTTTTTGAATCCAAAATAAAAAACAGTTATAAAGATGATATAATTTTGGTATACATGTATGTAATAGATGAATGATGGATAGTAAAACATATTTTCAAATGTAAGTGGGATCATACCATATACATGTAAATACCATTTACCCATCTATGTCTTTTGCATAATATATTATGAACATTTCCAATTCTAATATATAGAGCTCTTTGTTACTCTTTTTAAAAGCTTCCTATAAATGTTTTTATTGAATCAGAGCCATATTTACATAATTTGAATTATTCTCTATTTTTCTTATTATTGTTACCACAATAATGTGGATCCTAATTCATAAAGTATTTTATACTATGCAATTACTTCCTGAGGCTAAAAACTTAGAAGTGGAATTTCTGTGTAATTGAGGTAATATAAAATTTTCATATGTGTTGCTATATCATCCTTCAAAAATACTGGTTCAGTTTATGTTTGCTCTAAATTCTGTATGTCAGAAATATTTCCACCTCTCTTTATAGGCCCAGAATGTCCATGGTTCTAAATTTCAGTGATCTTAAAGAAGAAAAAGAATTTTTTTATACTTACATGTTTTAGATTAACATTGAGAATTTTTATATGTGTATTGATCAGTTGCACTCTATATCTTATAAATTACTTTATTCATGAACTTTATTTGCTGTCAATTTGAGAGTTCTTTCTTCTCATTTGAAAGAATACATCAGTATCAAATA